ACTTAAATGGTCCACTTATATGCATGTTAATCTATTTAACATCTTTATTTTATGTAATAAGTTGCATATTGTGTCATTAACCCGTAACTGCTGTTCTCCGGTCAATTTGACCATTGCACTATTTGAAATTTAAATAACGCGGTTAATTTTCTAGTTGCGCATTCATCCGTCAGTGTATTTTCTTACATTCTGAATGTCAGTCAACTGATATACGCGCAGTTATGTGGTTATGTTATTTGTCAAGATATTCATCAATTCCGTTTCCTACCGGTCAATTTGACCGGTGAACAGTGTGCGCGTACTTAAAATGGCTTCACAGCAGTTACGGGTTAAGATTAATTCTCTTGCATTTTATAGTATGAGGAAATATGTATAAGAGACAGTTATTAAGTACAGCAATTGAAAAGAAAAACACAACATCTCTCTGCAGCGGCGCCTACAGTACGATATCTTGTTTTTCTAAAAATTAATCATGACCATATTGTATCATCATATATGGATGGATTTGGCATCAAATGTTCTTCAATTTTTGTCCTCATGAAATTTTTTAATTTTGCAAAATTAATGAGTAGGAGGGGGAAGTTGAAAATATTGACACTTCTGAAAAGTCTGAATATACCGTTGCAAATAGTATAAAGTACTGTAAAACTTGTAGGAAACATTTTTTCATATACTTCGTACTTTAGAAGATATTCGCGAAAAATGAAAATGTTAGTTATTTTAGGGGTTCTTTCACCCTCCAAACTTTGAGATACGCCGATAAAAAAAATACGAGTCTAATCGTTTTTATTGCTTTACAACATATTCAAAGTCCATGAAAATCGGTGAGGGACAGTTCCTATCTGTTCCTTGTTAATACTCGTATCTTAGGACTGCGTTCCATATGCTACACTTTTGCTGCATTTGTTGATATACTAAATTTTTCTTTATTATGGTTTTTTCATATTCTTCGTCAAAACATGAGTTCCTTTTGTTTAGAAGTTCTTTATCTATTATTATTTTAATAGCTTTCAATATAGTTCCTTCATATTATTTCCATTCCTCTTCAACTAAGGTTTCTTCATTAATTGTAAGTGAGGATATTTGCAGAAATTTTGGTGACGTAATGTTCTTTAGTAATTTTTTAGATTCCTTATTAAATTTCCTTTGTTCTTTTCCTTTAATTTTCTGAATGTTGGATATGCGAGCTCTTATTTTTGTTGTTACCAGGTAGTGGTCAGAATCAATGTTTGCTTTTTTATACAGATTTTGCAAAATTGGAGGAGGAGGACGGAGGGGGTTACAAAAATTTTTTCAATTTTGCAAATTAAGTACACAGTTGCAAAGAGTATGAATACATTACAACTTTTATATCAACCATTTTTAAATATGTCTCGTATTTTAAAAGATATACACTAAAAATGGAAATGATTTGTTTTCGAAGGGTAGTTTCACCTCCTCAGGGATGGAATTCCGCATGAACAAAAAATAATTTTGCATTACGAATGAGCTACTTTACTTCCACACAAAGTTTCATAATTTTTTGAATTTCCGGGTTTGCTATGTTTCCTTGTAAGCCATACTCATTATTTGAATTTCGCTATATTACTAAAAAAGTATACATCTATCATGAAAAATTTTAATTACAGTTTCTCGTAAATTATTACGCATAGCATAAGTAAATTATTGATGTAAGTTGCATTAAGCTTTATTAGAGTGAAGAAATTACTATACATATTTAAAAATCAGGTAAATTCGGAATATCAAAGTTTGATCGTTCTTTTGTAATAGGCAGTTGCTTCTCAATCATTTTTAATAAGTTTTCGTTTATAGAGTGCATTCCACAGCGTCATATACGCTGATTCACTAATCTTGTTTTATAAATATCTCTAAATTTTACATGGTTGTTTATAAAATGACAAAGATCCTTTTACTGAGGTTGACGTATATTACCTTCATGTGCGGGTTAGGTCTTGCGTTATACACTCTGTATAATGTATATATAACAATGAAACAATATATAATGTATCAGGTGTAGCGGTTAATAATTTTTTCTTAAAAAAACACGTTTAAATTGGGAGAAAGATAAAAAATGGTTTATTCAAAGTATGCGCCATCGCTAGTTACATTTTTCCCATCTCTCTGGCAATTTGTGGATGCGCTCCCAGAAAACCCGTACATCTTTTGAGGTGGTCCAATCATCAAGCCATTTTTCGACATCTCTGTAATTGTTGAAATGTTTCATGGAGAGTGCGTGAGACATCGATGAAAACAAGTGGTAGTCGGAAGGGGCCAAGTCTGGTGAATACGGCGGGTGGGGCAAGAGTTCCTAGCCAAGTGTAGAAATGGTGTCTTTGACCGCTTTCGCTATGTGTGGTGGGGCGTTGTCATGCTGCAAAATTACTTCTCCGTGTCTTGTAGCCTATTTTGGTCGCTTTTCGATTAATGCATGGTTAAAATTGATCATTTATTGACGGTAGGGAACAGTATCAACTGTTTCACCTTGTTTGAGAAGCTCATGGTACACGACACCCTTCTGATCCCACAAAATGCACAGTATTGTCTTCTTTCCGAAGCGATTCGGTTTTGCGGTCGATGTTGATGATTGTCCTGGGTCAACCCATAATTTTCTGAGTTTTGGGTTCTCGAAATATATCCATTTTTCGTCTCCAGTCACGATCCGATGCAAAAAAGTTTTTCTTTTATGCCGAGAAAGCAAAAGTTCGCATACCGTTTTTTGCTTTTCCATCTGTCTGTCGTTCAACTGATGTGGTAACCATTTTCCCGCTTTCTGGATCTTTCCCATGGCATGCAGACGATCACAAATGGTTCGGCGACCAACATTTAACCTCTCTGCCATTTGTTGTTGAGTTTACGTATCGTCTTCGTGCAACAATGCTTGCAATTCGACATCTTGAAATTTTTTCGGTTGACTTGAGCGTTCTTTATCTTTCAAGTCAAAATCAGCACTTTTGAATCGTTTAAACCAACGCATACAAAGCGTCTTGCGTTAGGACATTATTACCGTAAGTTTCCACAAGTATACGATGGCTTTCACTCGCGTTTTTCTTTTGATTGAACAAGAAAAGCAGTACGTGCCGCAAATGCTCTTTATTTAGTTTGAAACTCGATATATTTACCACACGAAAAAAATATGACGCTAACCCGAAATCGTTTAAACCTCAATGGCGTTTTGAAAGGTACTATCATAGCAACAAAATGACATAAGAGGTTAGACTGTGAACCAATCCTTGTTTCCAGCGCCATCTCTTAAAAAAATTGAGAATTATTAACTGCCACACCTGGTATATATAACAATGTAATAATGAAACCGTGTCATGCATCTTCGCGGATAGTCGGCGGAAAGTTGGTGTTAGTAGTTCACTGATCAAGCAAATTTGACAAGATCAAGTAGAGGGAAGGTGATATCAGGATAACCGGTACGCGACAATTGTTCATACAACGAAAAATTTCTTACTGCCTCACACCACACAATATTAATTAAAATATAAGATATATAATATATATTGGATGATTGCATAAGTTCGTGCCCGATTTAAAAATAAACTTTAACAAGTTAAATTTTAAAGAATAGTTTTATTAATCAATTATACAGTCTCCATTCTTTTCAACAATTGTTTTCCAACGATCTACAAACTTGTCGATTCCATTTTTGAAGAAAGAGCTTGGTTTCCCTTGAAAAAAGTTTGTGAGGTGGTTTCCGATAGCTTCCTCGGACTTAAGATTTTCGCCATTCTGCAAAGTATTAACTATTAAGTAGTAACTATTCTGCAAAGACCGGAACAGATGAAAACCTGAAGACGCAATATCTGGAGAATATGGTAGGCACTGAAGAATTTCCCATTGCAACTCCTGCAGTTTTCGCAGCGTCTATTGGGCGACGTGCGTTAGGTTTAGCATTGTTGTGATGGAAGATGTTGCCTTTCCGCTTAATCAAAACCGGATGTTTTTCTCAAATAGCCACATTGAGTCTAGTGAGTTGCTCATAGTACTTGTCCGCCGTGATTGTTTCGCCGCGTCGGAATAGATCGAAGTCAATAATTCCCCTACAATCCCACCAAACACATAGCAACATCTTTAATGGGTGCAGGCCAGCTTTTGCGACAGGTTCTGTACCTTTAGCTGCTTTTTTCAGATCCTCTTTCGCTGTACGTTGTTGTATAGAATCCACTTCTCATCGCTTTACTATTCGATCTACTATTCGATCTAAAAATTATTTTATTTAATTTTACTACTCAATCTAAAAAAGGCTCTTTTTGTTACGTGCAAGGAGAGAAATGGCCACATTCATGCGGTTCAGCTTATTCCTTTTAATCAAGAGATGCGGCACCTATATATCAAACTTGGAAACGTATCCAAGCTTTTTTAAATGGCGAAACGCGATTTAATTATCGATTTTCAGCCTCTCAGCAATCTCCTCAGTTGTAATCATTAGGTTTTTTTTCCACTAAGACACACATAATGTCGTCATTAATGCCAGAAAGCCGTCCAGAGAGGGGTTAATCTTCCAAGTTGAATTCATTTCGAAATTTGTCAAATCACTTTTTAACTGTCCGGAAAGCAGGAGCACAGTTCAAATAAACACTCTGAATGTTTTTTGTGTAGTCCCAACACTCACGCCTTTCCGAAATTCGTATAACATTCGTATAGTATATGTCGCAAATACACCTTTTCGTTCTCCATTTTTAAAAATTTTTCTTATGCACAAATCGACTTATCTGAACGATGTCTGATACTAAAGTGACACAAGACACTGTCACACCTATTCAGTGCATACAATATAACCAAACAGAAACATCGGAGCTTTGCCATGCAGTAAGTTAACGCCATTTATGAAAATCGGGCACGAACTTATGCAATCATTCAATATTAGTCGCATTATCTTTCAGTATTAATAATTCAGTTATCCAATATTATTCATCTGTTCATCATATTATAATAACTGTTATTATTGTTATTGACATTTTATAATATCTATAGCATTTATTTTCATGTTTCAGGTATGTACTCTATAAGTTACCGAAGGTACATGAAAGCAGTATTCCTATCATCAGAGATGGGTTGGCTTATCTATACATAACCAACGATACTGTTGATAAGGGTTGGCAACTATCTTCAAAAGAAATCAGTGCTGAGAATTCTATCCCAGGGAATACATTAGCACCTTTATATGATGATGTAAGAAGAACAAAATATATATATTATTAGCAGACATAAAAATATATTATCAACAGATGCTTTTATTCATTGTTCTTCATTTATCGAATTGAAGAAAGGATTCTTATGTAAAATTGCTTTTAGTTAAATTTTGTGAAGATTTGCTATATGATAGTTTTTTATTTGTAGGTAAAAAATATTAATAGGCCCAAAGTCTGGTAATGAACAGTTTCCAAACTACAACAGCCTAAAAGTTGAGATTTTCATATATCATACAGCATAATGAAGGGAAAAATTTATGAATATACCCACATATACTCACATATACTCACGTATATATATATATACATATGATATATATATATATATTAATATATACAGGGTGTCCGAAAAATCGCCTACTCCACTTCGGGAGGTGATTCGAGATCCAAAAACAAGCAAAAAAGTTGATACAAACATAGGTCCGGAAATGAGCCGTTTCCGAGTTATAGCTACTTTTATGTTCAAAAATCGTAATTTAGAATCCGTTTGGCATCCCTCTTTCTTAATTATTTCTAAAATTAAAAATTTTTATGTTTTAAGTTTTATTTGTTATTTTTATTTAATTTTTAATTTTCAATTTTTGTTTTTAAATTTTTATTTTTAATTTTTCTTTAATTATAATTTTTTTAGTTTTTTTCAATTTTTCAATAATTGTAAATACGATTACATTATTTTTAAAAGAAATCAGTTGATTTCATGACTACTTAAAGTCAGTTGTCTTCGCGACTATCCAAATCAGTTGTTTTCACGGCTACTTGAAATCAGTTGTTTTCACTGTTCAAAACTATTCAAAATCATTCCTTTTCACAGCTTCCCAACCCAGTTGCTTATATTATTTTGAACATCTTATTTAATTCGATTTAAATATCTGTTCATATTTACTTTAAATATAATGTAATCGTATTAACAAATATTGAAAAATTGAAAAAAACTAAAAAATTATAATTAAAGAAAAATTAAAAATAAAAATTTAAAAACAAAAATTGAAAATTAAAAATTAAATAAAAATAACAAATAAAAGTTAAAAAATAAAAATTTTTAATTTAAGAAATAATTAAGAAAGAGGGATGCCAAACGGATTCTAAATTACGATTTTTGAACCTAAAAGTGGCTATAACTCGGAAACGGCTCATTTCCGGACCTATGTTTTTATGAACATTTTTGCTTGTTTTTGGGTCCTGAATCACCTCCCGAAGTGGAGTAGGCGATTTTTCGGACACCCTGTATATATATATGTATGTATATGTGCATGAATGTGTGTAGAAACACGCAGCATCTATAGATAGATAGATACAGTGCATACACCTTTCAAGAAATTGAATTCGTTAGTGTAACTATTTTTTTAAGAAGCAAATAAATTATTAGATACAAGCAAATGAAAGCATTTCAAGGTATTTAAATAAAGAAAATATGAAATAGAAAAATTGTGCTCAATTTTTTGTAAAACATTCCCTAATAGCAATATTTCAGCAGACTGACGGCAGACTGACGGCAGAATAAATCAGAGATTTACAGCAGATTGATGCCAACTGCTTATCCATTGTGCCCGCATTCTGACGGCAGAGTCTGTCAACATTATTTGACGGCAGACTGATATCAGAAACAAAGCAGATCCTGACGTACACAGTCTAGTGACAGATTGACGGCAGAAACGTATCAGATCCTGACGTACGCAGTCTGGCGGCAAACTGGTGACAGAAATACAACAGATTCTGCCATATTCATTTTTACATCCCCCCTCCCCCTTCCCATTCAGTCATGCACATTACGTGAAAGTAATTATTAAAAAACAATACAATATACGAACGTAATTGTTTTATTTATCATACAAGACAAAACGAGACAGCCAATCAGATTCACAATGGTGTTTACCGTAAATGGCGGAACACGAAGGCGACGATGTTTCTTCTCACAGCCTCAGGAAATGACGACATACGATGACTTCGAGACGATGTTGGAGTAATTGATAAAAGGGTTTATGAACGGTGAAATGGCACTTTGCTGCGATATTTGTAAATTGAAATTATATTACAGTTGCATCTTTCTAACTACAGTTACGTATAATATGTTTAAGTAAATACATGAATTAAAAGTTACATTGTATTAATGTCACAATTTCCCACAGTAAATACAATACACATGTCGTATTCATAGTGGCATAGCAAATTGTAACATCGATACATTGTAACTCTTAATAATTGCTGGGATGAGACAGGGAAATCAGAGAAATCTGGATAAAAATATTTACCTGTGTCTCTTGCGTTCTTCGGTAATAGATTCGTCGATCCTCCGTGACATCCGATCCTCCTGTGATGACCTAAACATATAAAATGTCCGGGAGACACCGTAAAGTCAACACAGAGTACCAATTGTCTATGCCCAGAAGTCGAAATTATTTGCCCGTTTCAACCGATTTTTGAGAGCTACGCCTATTTCTCTTGTTTCTCCGCTCGTCCAAAGGTTCCTACAAGGGAGGACGGTCACGCCGCCCAGATATAAGTTGTCATGTATCATTTGTAGGGATCTTCGGAAAGCGATCTTCAAGCGTGGCAATAGAAATGAAAGACTGATTGGTTCATTTCCTTATGCGTTATGCATTATGCCTTTATGCAAAAGTGTCTGCTTCCCATATTATTTGTCCGATTTAGCCGATTTTTTAAGGCTACGCCTGCTGCTCTTCTCTTTTCTTTCGGAAGATCCCTACAAATGATACATGACAGCTTATACCTGGGCGGCGTGACCGTCCTTCCTTGTAACGACCTTTGGACGAGCGGAGAAACAAGAGAAATAGGCGTAGCTCTCAAAAATCGGTTGAAACGGGCAAATAATTTCGACTTCTGGGCATAGACAATTGGTACTCTGTGTCGACTTTACGGTGTCTCCCGGACATTTTATATGTTTAGGTCATCACAGGAGGATCGGATGTCACGGAGGATCGACGAATCTATTACCGAAGAACGCAAGAGACACAGGTAAATATTTTTATCCGGATTTCTCTGATTTTCCTGTCTCATCCCAGCAATTATTAAGAGTTACAATGTATCGATGTTACAATTTGCTATGCCACTATGAATACGACACGTATATTGTATTTACTGTGGGAAATTGTGACATTAATACAATGTAACTTTTAATTCATGTATTTACTTAAACATATTATACGTAACTGTAGTTAGAAAGATTCAACTGTAATATAATTTCAATTTACAGATATCGCAGCAAATTGCCACTTCACCGTTCACAAACCCTATTATCAGTTACTCCAATATCGTCTCGAAATCATCGTATGTCGTCGCTTCCTGAGGCTATGAGAAGAAATATCGTCACCTTCATGTTCTGCCATTTACGATAAACACCATTGTGAATCTGATTGGCTGTCTCGTTTTGTCTTGTGTGATAAATAAAAACAATTACGTTCGTATATTGTATTGTTTTTTAATAATTACTTTCACGTAATGTGCATGACTGAATGGGAAGGGGGAGGGAGGATATAAAAATGAATATGGCAGAATCTGTTGTATTTCTGTCACCAGTCTGCTGTCAGGCTGTGAACGGCAGGATCTGTTACGTTTCTGCCATCATTCTGGTGCCAGACTGCGCACAGCAGATTCTACTGTATTTCTGCCGTCAATCTGCCACCAAACTGCGTACGTTAGGATCTGTTACGTTTCTGCCGTCAATCTACCGTCATAGTATTAAACCGCATTTGTTTGAATTCTGCCGCCAATCTGCCGTCAGACAGCGCACGGCAGGATCTGTTTCCTTTCTGTCGTCAATCTGCCGTCAGGCTGCTTAACAGAATCTGTTCAAATGTTGACGTCAATCTGATATCAAACTTCTCTAACAGATTTTGTCTCAATGCTGCTGGCATTCTGCCGACATCATCTGATATTGCAGAATCTGTATTAATTTTGACATCAGTTTGTCATCAACTCCTGCAACAGGCGTCTGGCAAAATCCGTTTCGGACAGATTTGGTTATTAGGGTTTATTATTCAATTGTTACATTTTGCCCTGGACAAAATAAATCATACACTTACATGATATAACATAGGTAACTGTCAATTTCGTCATTCTGCTATTGTTCATCATTTTACTGTTTGTTTACATTAGTACGACTAGAATTTACGTGTTCGATGAGTCACAGTAGTAACTATAACGAATAAGAACAATGTCACGAAAGCAAATTTCTTTTGATATCCGAAATTTGGTCATTCACGATCGACAGAATGGTGAATCTTTTAGGATAATTGCTAATAAATACTCGATCTCTATTGGAGCAGTTCAACACATCTGGAAAAAATATGAAACACATGGGATAGTGGCAAACTATTCCGGAAAATGTCGGAAACGTTACAACTTTTCGTGATGATACCAGAATCGTTCAAATGGTAAAACAAAATCCGAAGCTGTTATCATGAAACATTGTAGAATCGATGAACCTAACTGTCAGCAGCCGCACTGTGAGTCGTAGGCTTAGAGAATGTGTACTAAAAAGCGTGTTCGCGTCAAAGCATCCCTTCATCAATAAAATAAATAAGAAGAAGCGATTCGAGTTTGCCAAGAAGTATATGAAAATGCCTCTAGACTTTTGGAAAAAAAGTATTATGGTCTGATGAGAGCAAGTTTGAGTTATTCTTACAGAAACGGCGGTCTAGAGTATGGCGAAAACCTAGTGAGGCTCTCAAAAAAGTTAATATTCAGAAGACTGTAAAATATGAAGGCGATAATATCAGTATGAGAGTGCCTTGCATGGTGTGGTATCGGTAATTTGGCTCGAATTGAAGGTATTATGAGACCAGAAGGATATATCGATATATTGTGTGACATTTGGAAGAATCTCTTTTGAAATTGGGTTTAGAAAATAACTTTATCTTTTAACAAGATAATGACCCAAAACATATGGCGAAGAAAACCACTACCTTTTTCAAATCTAATAAAATGAAACTGCTCAAATGGCGACACAATCACCAAATTTAAATCCCATTGAAAATCTGTGGGCTTATTTAGACGGGAATGTGAATAAAATGTACGTAACTGACAAAACATTGTACTATGCAGTACTCCTGAAAGCCTGGGAGGAAATTGATCCTGAATATTTGAAGAAATTAGTCGAGAGTATGTCCCGCCGATTGGAAGCAGTACTAAAAGTTAAAGGCGGCCACACTAAGTATTAAACACTATTGCAATTAACTTTATTTGTTTGTTAACTATTATTTCTAAAAGTGCATAATTTATTTGGTCCACGGCAAAATGTAACAATATTGAATAATAAATATTTTACAAAAAAAATTGGACACAATTTTTACTATTTCATATTTTCTTTATTTAAATACCTTGAAATGCTTTCATTTTCCTGTATCTAATAATTTATTTGCTTCTTAAAAAAATAATTACACTAACAAATTCAATTTATTGAAAGGTATATGATTTATTTTGTCCAGCACTGTATATACATTCACTGTATATATATTCATTCTTATAGACTTGAAACATATTATGCTGAGGGATGACTATAGTAAGAATTTTTTATAACTCTGTAGATCTAACTCTCTATCGTTACTTATACATTTTGCGTACATTGATTGTCTTTGAGCAAAACAATAATTGGCTAATGCCGATAACTAATAGCTGAACATGATAGCTAAACACATATACGCGTTTCAAATCATGCAAATATATACAGAATGTCCCATAATTGTAACACATCAACTCTATAAAGGCGTAGAGCTAAGCGAGAGGAACGAAGAAGTTCTCTTCCATTTAGCGATATCTCGCATCGTTTTTTTAGTAATAAGCGCGTAAAATTTCGCGTTTGTCACGTCCATCGCGGCCTATAGACGCTCTGTGGTGAGCTATGTGCGTCGAGACTGAGCGGTAACGCAGCTTGCGCTGACCATCGCGCAGCATCAAAGCGCCAAGACGCCATCGCGACAGTCAGCGCGAGACGCATTATCGTTTAACGCACACAGCTCAGGCATGACAAACGCCAAATTTTACGCAGTTATTACTAAAACACTATACGAGATATCGCTAAATGGAAGAGGACTTTTTCGTTCCTCTCGCTTAGCTCTATAGAGTTCGTGTCTTACAATTATGGGACACCCTGTATATAAGGTACATTAATAACTCTATAATTATTGCGAATCTCGCAAAACGGTATGGGATTTTTATATTTGTCTTAATTCAATCTACCTTCACACTTGGGGTTGGCAGCTAATTACCGGACATCCTGTATAAATATATTCTCCCACTATGCTACATAATGTATACAAATCCTAATTTTGAGCAGCTGTAGCTTGAAAATTGTTCATTACCAGACTTTAGGCCCATTGACACTTTCAATCTACATATCAAGAACTATAATATCATACAGCAAGTCTTCAAAAAGTTTAACCGAATAATTTCCCATAAGGATTCTGTGAAGTCTTTCGTTGAAACTACATTTTCTCGCGCTTTTTATCTCTATAACGAATAAAGAAAAATTTATTTCTTATTTTTCTTAAGTATATTTTATTTATACAAAAATTTACTGATAGTATATGTTAATTTTAATTATCTATTGGGTATGGGAATAAGTTTTAATCGTTTTTTATATAGACAAGAAATTTTGAATATGAAAATATTAAATGATTTTATTCAAAATATTTTCCATCTGAAGCGACAACCTTCGCCCATCTTTCGGGCAATAAACGGATTCCTCGAGTGAAGAATTCTATTTCTTTCGAGGCGATCCAGTCATCGACTCATTTTTGTATGCTGTCATATGAGGTGAAGCGCTCTCCAGTAAGTGCCGACTGCATCGACCGGAACAAATGATAGTCTGAAGGGGCAATGTCTGGTGAATACGGCGGGTGGGATAGGACCTCCCATTTCACCCCTTCTAGGTATGTCCGGACGGGTTGACCAACATGTGGTCTAGCGTTGTCGTGCTGCAAAATCAGCTTCTCGTGTCTATCGCGCCATTCCGGCCGTTTTTCTTGAATAGCTTGTTTCAAATGCATTAGTTGAAGTCGGTAACGTTGGGAATTGATAGTTTCGGACGGTTTCAGCAGCTCATAGTAGACTATACCCCGCATATCCCACCAGATACAGAACATGACCTTTGATCCGTGAATATTGCGCTTTGGCGTTGATGGACCTGGTTCATCTGGCTTCACCCATGCTAGTTTGCGTTTAGGGTTGTCGTAGTGAATCCATTTTTCATCGCCAGTGATGATCCGATGCAAAAAACTCTTTCTTTCTTGTCGTTGAAACAACATTTAGCACGTGACCAAGCACCTTTCAATGTCCCTTTCCTTCAACTCGTGTGGTACCCAATTTCCTGCCTTATGAACCATTCCCAGCGCATGTAGGCGTTTTCCAACGGTGGATCGATCAACATCCAATGCTGCAGACAATTCTTCAAGTGTCTGACATGGATCAATATCAAGCAATTTCTCAAGTTCCTCATTTTTGGAACTTTTTTGGGGCACCATCGCGTTCTTTGTCGTTGACATCGAAATCATCACTTTTGAAGCGTTGGAACCAATATCTGCAAGTTGGCTCCGATGGATCATGGTCGCCGTAAACATTCACAAGCAAATGGCACGTTTCCGCAGCACTTTTCTTCAAAAGATAGTAGTGGAGAAGAACTTCCCGCAAATGCTGCTTTTTTGGAAAAAATTCCGACATTTTCGATGCGATATGAATACTTGCTGTTTGCACTCCAAACAAAAGTCTTATACTGCGTTTAACAGCTTACATATACACCTTTTAAATCCATGTATCGAAAGGTTAAAAAAGATGCAAGCGATACTATTAATGCCATCTATGGGGAAACGATTAAAACTTATTCCCATACCCAATAAATTTTTCTAAATTCTTTACTAACAAATATGTAGAAAGTTTACTAATTCATCTGCTTCTTTGAGAAATCTTTTTAAAAAATGTGATATTATAAAGCGCCTACGGATGTTCTTATCAAGATTTCAATAATTTTATACTTATATAATAATAATTATATATATTATTATTTATAATTTAAATATATTTTTATTAATATAATAATTGTATATATTATTATTAAATTATAATTATAATGATTTTATATTTATTTGTACGATTATGTATTTGCAGTCTAAAGCAGCAAACATTTTCTGGGCGTTGTATAACGATGATCCGCCTGACAAATCCGCCAATGGAAAATATGGCCACGCAAAAGGTGCCGTAATAGTAAACAAACGGTGGGGTTTCTGGTTAATACATAGTGTTCCAAATTACCCGCCTACACCTAATTGCGGAGAAGATTCAGGACAGGTACACACATGCGTTTTAAATATTCTATATTAAGTACATTGATTTTTTTGCAAGATATCCAATTTTCAATGAATGTCCAATATGATGAGTTTTAAGGAAATTTTGAATGTTCTAATTTTACCGATATCTATTTTTTCCTTCACAAAAAATTTTGATACGATTAAAATGAACACATTAATGGAAATGAGAATAATCAATTTTATATTAAAAATGGGAGAAAAAGTTAAGTAATCAGATTTTTTTCATTTACTTTTACTTCAATATAACATCTAGTGTCATTCAAAAACTTTTACTTTGTATAAATGTTCTTAAACGTTTAACTGTTGTTTAATCGTACAAGAAAAATGTTTTTGTTTTTCAGATTACATTATAAAATAATATTTAATTATTAGAACTAATTATAAGCTTACAAGAAAACTGTCGGAAATATTTCTTAGATGCAATTTTGATGAATTTTAGATATGTTAGAGCAACAAAAAATTATAGCATTCTATCTTATATGCTTTATCTGACATTTAAGAGTTGAAATATAATCCCTTCAAGATAAGAAAAAATTTTTAGCGAATATCATTAAATCATTGAAATTATAAGTTGCACAAACATGCAATTTATACAACAATTTCATAGTATTTTTATAATATTATATACTTTTTATAATATTATATAATATTTTATAATATTAGGCACAGTAAGTTATGCAGTCTAGCATCATGCGTTCGTCGTTGTCAAATTATTCATTGATTTGATACTTACATGAGACTACAAACTTTATTTTATTGTTTTTTGCATACGCTGTTGTTAATATTCTTTAGATAATTAATAATCATTATGAAGTTAAATAAATGACATTTCTTTATTCTGTTTAATGTACTCTATTTGGACATAAACGGCATCTGTTATATCTTATGGATCGCTCTTACTTTAATACATGTTATAGTTTGAAAAATGTTGAGTCTCTGTGCTTCAAATTACATGAAATTTTGCATGTAATTTCTGAAACATATTGTTTTAAAACTCAGAAGCTACTTTCATTTTTCAAGCGGTTTTCGAAAGTTTACCTCGTCTTACTTCCCCTTACATTCCCTTTACTGCAGAGCTGGAGACGATCTGCACATTTCGGACGAAATTCAAGAGGTAACATCCACCGTCCCCCTACCATCGCTCCGCATTCAGTGGCCGAGGCGAGGATCGCGATGCGTTTAGGCCTGTTGCTATATAAGAAATCTGCTGGAGCATCGCCCTCGCGTCATATTATCATTAAAATTTTTTCCTCGTTTAACAAACACTATAAAATTTATATATGTTCATATGTTATACAGGGTGTCCCATAATTGTAGGACACGAACTCCATAGCGGCATAGAGCTAAGCGGGAGGAACAAAAAAGTCCTGTTTCATTTAGCGATATCTCACATAGTTTTTTAGTAATAACCGCGTAAAGTTTGGCGTTTGTCACGCCCATCGCAACCTACTACATGGGCTGAAAAGTCCTTGGCTTAACAATGAAAAAACGATTTTTTCAATGTAAAAAGTGTTTTATTCCTCGACATAATCTCCATTTAGAGTAATGCATTTAGTGTAACAGTCCGCTAACATTTCGATGCCGGTCTTATAGTGCTCGGTGTCAAATCCCTCAAAATAGGCATTTGTTTCCAACTTGACCTCCTCATTCGAGTAAAATCTTTTACCAGCGAGCCACTGCTTCAATCGGGGAAAAAAGAAATAGTCGCTGGGGGCCAGGTCTGGAGAATACGGGGGATGCGGGACCAATTCATAGCGCAATTTCTTTAATTTATCGGTCGTATCGCGAGCCGAGTGAGCTGGAGCATTGTCTTGGTGAAACAAAATTTTTTTCTTTGCCAAATGTGGCCGTTTGACCTTGACCTCGTCGTCCAATCGATCCAGTAATGTACAGTAATATTCTTTATTGATAGTTTTCCATGTTCAAGATAATCAATGAATATTATGTTATGCGTATCCCAAAAAATACTGGCCAAAACCTTGCCGGCTGATTGTTGTGTCTTCGGGCGCTTCGGACGGCTTTCACTAGGCAATAACCACTCCGCTGACTGCCGATTGGACTCCGGTGTGTAGTGATGGATCCATGTTTCATCCATTGTGACAAATCGACGCAAAAACTCCTTCTTATTGCGGTTAAACAGGGCCAGATTTTGCTTTGAAAGTCGAACACGTTCCGCTTTTTGCTCAATTGTCAAAAAACGCGGCACCCAACGCGCGCAAAGCTTTTTCATGTGTAAATATTCATGAATGATATGACCAACGCGTTCCTTTGAGATGCCTATGATGTTAGCTAGCTCACTCAATTTCATTTTGCGGTCATTCAACACGATTTCACTGATTTTCTGGATGTTTTCTGGAGTAACTGCCTCATTTGGCCTTCCTGAACGTGGTGCATCATTTGTGCTCGTACGGTTACGACGAAACTCAGCAAACCAATATTTGATGGTTGAATTCGGTGGGGCAGATGTGCCGTAACATTTATCAAGCCATGCCTTTGCTTCAACAGTGTTTTTCCCATCAGGAAGCAATGTTTAATCAAAACACGAAATTCACTTTTTTCCATAGTAAAGATAAATTCAGAGGTAACGTCACTTCGAAAGCTATAACTTGTACACGAGTCAAGGAAATATCATGAAATTTTTACAGCATCTAAGTTAAGGTTGGTACTCTATAAGAAATATAAGGATTTTTAGTTTGTGGCGCCATCTATATGTCAGGCCAAAGACTTTTCAGCATGTAGTATAGACGCTCCGCGGCGAGCTGTGTGCGTCGGGGCTGAGCGGTAAGGCGGTGCGCGTTGACCGCCGCGGCGGCAATGGCGTTTTGACGCTTTGACGCCGTCGGTGTGCGGCCAGGCGATGATGAACGCGCCGCGTGTACGCTGGAAATCTAACCATGTTTTCTCTTTGCCAAAAGTGTGTGGCGCAAATTTTTGGGTTGTAGGCGTTAATTAAACGTTTATTATACACGATGACAAATGCGAATTAAACGCAATTGTGCGTGTTAAAATTACTTTTTCGCGTAGAAACACTATCATTTCCACACCACCTATGAGATAGATAGCTTGGTGCATTTTTTTTTACGTGGTTTCCCCAGTAGGCCTAATCCACGGTTACTGATTAGTGTAGTAACTGTTCGAAGTGCCTTCCTCCAACTTGTAAGCAGAGTTCAGCTCTTCGTGTTATCTCTTGCATCGCACGGTGCGCCATATCTGGCGTGATAGTAGCGAAGGCCGCAATAATTGCTGCACGTACCTCCTCTTCTGTACCATCGCGCCGTTACTCGACTAAGGATTTGACATATCTCCATACAAAATAATCGAGAACGTTCAAATCCCATGACCGTGCCGGCCAAGTGATTGGGCCACCGCGACCCATCCACCTGTCCGGAAAACGCATATTTAATATTTCTCGCACTGCACGCGAAGAGTGCGCGGGAGCCCCGTCGTGCTGGAATATCATAATTTCACGTGCGCGGAGAGGAACGTCCTCGAGGAGAAGAGGTAGCTCGTTCTCAAGGAATTCCGCGTACCTCTGCCCATCAAGATGTGGCGGTAAATGCACCAAAGATTTGGATAAATGTAGGCGTCTCGATAATTCGCGCACACTACATTCGGGATCGTTCTCGATCTCGCGCAATACTCTCTCCTCGTCGCGGATCGAATGCAGGACGGGTGCACCAGCGCGAAGTTTATGGACCGGCAGGAGACTCCCCATTTCCTTTGCTCGTCTTACGCAAAATCTAATAGTATTTTGCGAAGGATGCCGCGCGCGATTAGGATATCGCTGTACGTAAAGACACGCCGCGACATGATCGCTATAATCCGCCCTCGCGTAGCACATCAACATATCAAAATATTCTTTCGCCGTGAAATCCATTGTTTTAAGGCTGTGATGCGCGGAACACTTCACAGAAGCTACTGCCGTTAAGAACGTTTTTTGTAGGCGATAGAGAAAAACAGAACATCTGAGATACGATCTTCAACTGTTTTTCTCTATCGCCTACAAAAAACGTTCTTAACGGCAGGAGCTTCTGTGAAGTGTTCCGCGCATCACAGCCTTAAAACAATGGATTTCACGGCGAAAGAATATTTTGATATGTTGATGTGCTACGCGAGGGCGGATTATAGCGATCATGTCGCGGCGTGTCTTTACGTACAGCGATATCCTAATCGCGCGCGGCATCCTTCGCAAAATACTATTAGATTTTGCGTAAGACGAGCAAAGGAAATGGGGAGTCTCCTGCCGGTCCATAAACTTCGCGCTGGTGCACCCGTCCTGCATTCGATCCGCGACGAGGAGAGAGTATTGCGCGAGATCGAGAACGATCCCGAATGTAGTGTGCGCGAATTATCGAGACGCCTACATTTATCCAAATCTTTGGTGCATTTACCGCCACATCTTGATGGGCAGAGGTACGCGGAATTCCTTGAGAACGAGCTACCTCTTCTCCTCGAGGACGTTCCTCTCCGCGCACGTGAAATTATGATATTCCAGCACGACGGGGCTCCCGCGCACTCTTCGCGTGCAGTGCGAGAAATATTAAATATGCGTTTTCCGGACAGGTGGATGGGTCGCGGTGGCCCAATCACTTGGCCGGCACGGTCGTGGGATTTGAACGTTCTCGATTATTTTGTATGGGGATATGTCAAATCCTTAGTCGAGCAACGGCGCGATGGTACAGAAGAGGAGGTACGTGCAGCAATTATTGCGGCCTTCGCTACTATCACGCCAGATATGGCGCACCGTGCGATGCAAGAGATAACACGAAGAGCTGAACTCTGCTTACAAGTTGGAGGAAGGCACTTCGAACAGTTACTACACTAATCAGTAACCGTGGATTAGGCCTACTGGGGAAACCACGTAAAAAAAAATGCACCAAGCTATCTATCTCATAGGTGGTGTAGAAATGATAGTGTTTCTACGCGAAAAAATAATTTTAACACGCGCAATTGCGTTTAATTCGCATTTGTCGTCGTGTA